TGCAACAAACAAAGCATGTTGCAATGTTTCATTAGCATGATTTTTGAGGGTATTAAAAGATTAGAGGCCAAACAGCAAACACCCTTTTGGCATAAAAAAACTATTGTTAGGATTTACTAAAGACACACAGTCAAAAATTTGCGTTGAAAAGCCGTGGACAGGGTGATTTTTTTGCGGCTGAGCTCATTGCGTTGATCATTATAGAAATAATCGAGTTGTGTTTGTTTTCTTTAATTTGCACATCGTCAGTAGATAGATCACGCACAGAACTTTCTACTGACTCCCATCGGCGCTTTTATGGGATTGCTCTCTTACGCTAATTTGTCCGGTTTAGTAAATCTGTCCCCAGTCTAATATTAAGGGATTTTTTCTTATTTGCCTTAAAATTCTTAACTGTAAGTGTCCGATTTATAAATAACACGGGCACAATAATAGCTCCTCAATCCCTTCACATTCTCAGTGATCCGACATGGTTTCAAATGTCGAGTTACGGTATGTCATACTGCAAATCTCAAAGCGGTTCAGTTCAAATAAACAGGGCTTTTGAGTTGTGGAAACTTAATGCATGTTTGCTTCAGTAACCCTTAACAGTTATTATATGACAAGTTTTATTTTGTGTCGAAGCTGATTGGTGGAAACACTTTTGTCATTCTGCATAAAATGAAAAACATGTTTGTTACGTGCAAATATTTATCTATCAAGACTTTAGTCATTCTAGAACTTCTGCTCAGAAACCAGACGCAGCTGAAGAGGGTATTTGAGGTTTCAGGTAGTTACTATGGAGAAAAACTCAACAAAATCTTTGAGTTAAGTGATACTGCAGATGCTAAAGTCATTTGAAAGAAAATTGCTATACTGTACGTCTCCGTCCCAGCCTTTAAGTTTTCAGTAAACACATGTACAGCCATGGTAATTAGGAAACAAGAAGGGAATATAAAACATTCACCAAGTGAACCAATGTCTTCTCTCAGATTTATCCTGGCCGTAGCGAGCGGTGAAGTCTGTTGAACATCAACGTCAGCAGACAGCCACACACACACACTCATGAACAAGTAAACTTAGCGTCTCACACTCCATTGAGTCCCATGATGCTTAACTCTTGGCGTCTCAACCGGTGCTGACGTCTTCTGTGCGAGAGCTGCTATTTAGATCCCTTGTAATCTTGCATTTCCTAGCAGGACGGGCAGACGAGCCGTGGTACCAGCGGCATGAACGTTTTTTTGAAGCCGCTCATTCAAAGAGGAAAGGGAAAATGGCAGGCGCAAATTATTCACAATCACATTTGTAAACGGTGTGCTATTTCCTCACGCAAGGACAGGTATTCAACGGCCTGAAAAACTGATTTGTTCAGGAAGTACACAGTGGCATGACAGGAAAGCCTACTGCTACTTACAATACATTTAATACTTATGAATTAGCTTTTAACGTGCCTACCAAACCAGCATTACTTACGACAGGGACAAATTGAGCTGAGTCACCCCTTATATAAAGAAGAAAAAAAAACATTCAAACATAAAAATACATCGGAATAATTTTGAAGTCCAAGTTTAAAGTGACCACATGAACTGGAAACTTCACTTGAACTTTACTTAACCCTCTGGGGACCAGAAACGCGCGGGCGCGTTTTGGTCGTTTTTTTTCACACAGCAGAAAAATAGACTTAAAGTACTACCATCATTTCTGTTCATATAGAGTTAAGAAATATGAGAAAATAATCTGTTAAATGTCTACTTTTTTATGTGCCCACATACAATCGAAATAAAATATTGTGCTTTTGTAAAATAAAGAAAATAAACAGGGTGTGCGTTCTGCCTCTCAGTCACCGTGAACTTTTTTTCTGGAGCACGTCTCTAATCTTCAACACAACTCAGCTAATACTATTCACCCAGCCATAAGCAATATATCTTTTAAATCGTTTGAGTTTGTACTTTTAAATGATCCGATTCAAAACTAAAATTAATATTCTCCGTTTATGTCATCTATATAAAAAGAGAGACGTGTCAGCCCGTCTCATTATCGTTCTCTCAGCTGATTATCTCTGGTAATGTGACACGCGCACGGAGAGCACGCGCTATTCAAACGCAAATATGTGAAGCAACACATTGAGACGCGTTAACGCCCATAAACTCTGAAAACACACATTATTTTTTAGTCAGATTAATCTACTGTCGTCTTGCGCGGCTATATGAGGAACAATCCTGGGACATTTACCACTGGGTTTATTTTCACTGCGAGGATGAACAGATTCAGCTGAGAAGTAAGTGTTTTTTGCAAGTGCTTTGTTCTAATCGCGATATAGAATAACGTAGTGTCTGTAAACGGAAAAATAGCGTACTGTTAAATGTGTGTGTGTGTGTGTGTGTGTGTGTGTGTGTGTGTGTTTGTGAATGAATGAATGAATGAACGCACAGATACGCACTGTTACAGACTAAATAACATTTCGTTGACTCGTTTTGGATAAAGTTTTTACTCTAAAATAGACATCAAATAAGCTTTTTTTAGGAGTTTCTGCTCATATGTTAAATATATAGTATGTTTTGTCAATAAACTAATCAACTAAGATGTTATAGTGTTTGTTCAAGCTATATCAAAATAATGAATCCTCAACTTTGAAATATGTATGATCAAACTAAGACATTTATGGAGAAAGACAATTTTCTTTTCAAGATGTTTCCAACTCTAACTTTGAACTTTGAACTGAAATAAAACCATGTCTATATGGTGAAGGGTGTGTGATAGAAGTGTCCAGACGTATGCACCCTGTATTTTCCTTATATAAATCCAAACAATCTAAAAGCCATTCTTTTTTAAATCTCCTCATTCTTTGTGCAAGGCTCCTGTAATGATATGGCCTGATAGCACCTAATAGGGCCATTATGGGGAGGGTCTTTGTCTTTCTCAGGTGTGGAATGCCACACATATTAATGAGAGACCACGCCTCCTCGCATAAAGCTTTCTCAAACAAAACACGTCATTAAAAATGTAAAAGACTTTATTGACTTATCTGAATGAGTAGTCAGGATGATTCTCACATAGTTTTGGAGCAAATATTCTAGGCTATGTGATACAATTTTCAAAAGTCTTGTGAAGAAATAATCAATATGTGTTTTGTGGTCTTATTTCAGCAACTTTCATTTTTATTTTTTTCAATAACCACGCATAAACATTATTCTATTAAAAATACAAACATGTACATACATGTTGCTCACTCATCATGGTAGCCAAGTTTGTGCTATATAGAGTGAATTTACACCTTTGCCATTAACATGTTTATAAATAACTGAAAAAAGCACAAATGTCAGTGCATGTCAAAACATCCCAAGGGCCCCAAAAACACTCCGGTCCCCAGAGGGTTAAAAGTCGTGAAAGTTGTATATTTTACACTAAAACAATATTCAAGGTGAAAAATCGTAAGGCATACAGTACAAACATTCTGTAAAAAATCTTTGAGACAAAAGAATGACAAAAACCACAAAGCCAAAACTATCAAGCCATCACGGCAAATTAAACAGCGCATGCTGAAGTCTAGTAGGGACCATGCTTGCTTTATACGCTTATACAGTTATGGAGAGCTGATTTATTTATACTGTAAAGTAAAACGTCCATGTTTTCTCTAGAGTGCCGAATGGGTCAGGTTAAACTCACTTCCAGGGAACTGCATTCTTTCAGGCCAAAGAAACAACAAAAAAAGAGTGGTCTGGTTCAATTTTAAAAGTTCATTTCATGCATTGGGCAATAACAACAGTCCTGAAATCTGAATAAGGGATACTCCTAAGAGCTGAATATTTCATCATGTAGATACTGTATGAAGTATTAAATATACATCAAATGTAGTGTGTGTTATTGAACTGTCAGTTTAAGAGCATGAAAGTGAATTGATGTTCTATATCTGCATTTCATTTCTACTCTCAGGCGTCAGAAAGTGAATGAATCATGTTAAAGAGGCTTTCAATCTTTTCTTCTTCTATGTGACAAGCATGTCTGCTTCTATATAAATTTCTCATTCAGGAAAATATTTTATTATGTTTTATTGAATTTATGGAAACTCATTAAGCTTTTGTGCAAAAAAATGCCAAAAAAATCCAATCCTGACTGACATTATTTTATCCCTGGTTAGTTACCGTTTTTATATATATATATATATATATATATATATATATATATATATATATATATATATATATATATATATACATACATATATAAAGTATTTTGTGCTCACCAAGGCTACACGTATTTGATAAAAAATACAGTAAAAACACTAATATTGTGAAATATTATTACAATTTAAAATAACTGTTTTCTATGTGAATATATTGTAAAATGAAATTTATTCCTGTGATCAAAGCTGAATTTTCAGCATCATTACTCCAGTCTTCAGTATCACATGATCCTTCAGAAATCACTCTAATATGATGATTTGCTGCTCAAGAAACATTTAGAATTATTATCAATGTTGAAAACAGTTGTGCTTCTTAATATTTGTGTGGAAACTGTGCATTTTTTCAGGATTATTTGATAAAGGATGTTCAAAAGAACAGCATTATTTAATATGGAAATCTTTTGTAACAATGTAAAAGTATTTACAGTCACTTTTGATCAATTGAATGCATTTTAAGTTTTAATTCTTTCCCCAAAAAATCTGACTGACCCCGAACTTTTGACTGATAGTGTACTTACAAAAAAAATGTCATTAATGGAGGTGAAAAATTGATGAGAGTATATTTTATTATATGAGAATAAAGCGACCGCAGAGCATTCAGTTGCCTGAAACTAGAACCAATTATACAGTTTAGTGTCATTATACAAGAATATTTGACTGCAGAAACCATTTGATAATCATATATAGCTTTTGAAAATAAGTTAAATATTTGTAAGCATATTTACAAGTTATTTTTAATTTATTATTAAAAATGTTGAAATGAATAATGGCATTATTAATTGTGTTATGTAAATAATTCCTTATATTTGACTTGTATAATACATCAGTGTTGTGTTACCTGTGAAGACAGAAGATTGCAGTCTATATGAAGGCCTCGTCCTGTTTTCTGTCTCTGAAGCAAAGCAGCCATGACGGCTCCCTGAGTGTATAAACCAGTGGCCAGATCTGTCATAGCGACTCCTGGTCTGACTGGATCCCCATCCTTAAAGAAGAAGCAGTTAAATAAACAGGAGATATATGACCTAAAATACTGTGTAATATTTAACCCTCTGGGGTCCTTCATTTCAGAGTCACACTCAGGACCTTCGGGTCCAAATGGGCCGGAAGGGTGGGATTAATATTTATTAAAAAAAATCATCTTTTTTTTTTTTTACTTGTTTTTTATAATATTTTTTCTTTTCTTTTTTGGTGTTTTGAGATAATTTCAAAAATAAAAATGATTTATAATTAATATTAATGCAATAATTATGACCCATTTTTTCCCCATTGAATATAATAGAAATTTAAAAAATATATTTTTTTTTTTTTTTTTTTTTTTTTAAAGCTGTATTTCATTTTAGAGTCAAGCCTAGGCCTCATGAAAGCAATTTTTGAAATGAGATGGATGCCATCTGGTGGACAAACTGAGCATTTTAAAAATTCAAAACCCATATGTAATCTGAATTTATTAGTGTGTATGTGTATAAAAGTGTGTTTGTGTGTGTGTGTGTGTGTGTGTGTGTGTGTGTGTGTGTGTGTGTGTGTGTGTGTGTGTGTGTGTGGATGTGTCTGTTTTGCACTCTTGATGTTTTATAGATTCACCCCTTCACTGTTGTGTGCTTTTTTTCTGGATCGTGGCTGATTTGTAGTTTGTACGCACAAAATAACTCTGTATTTTCACATTTTTGCCAATTTCCCATTCATTTCCTATGCGGGTCCATTTGGACCCGAAGGTCCTTAGTGTGACTATTTTTTTTACAACCACTTAGACTATTCAAATCCTGTCCCCAATTTTTTGGGGTGTTCATATGCCAAGTACCAACAAAGTCACCAAATTTCGGACCATTCCGATAAAGCAATGATTTAAAAAAAAATATTTTTTAAATGCTTCGGGTCCATTTGGGCCGAAGGACCCCAGAGGGTTAAAGAGCACCTATATAGTGTGTAATGTTGCTGTTTGAGAATGAAAAAGCTCTGCAAAATTACAAAACAAAGTCCTTCCATTGGGAGTTTCTCTATATCACTGTTTCTGAACTCCCTGAAACGCATCCATTGTAGTCTCGAGTTTTCTTCCGGGAAAGAACACGCCCCCACGGGGTGGGAATTAAGGATCTTTCACACTTTCACACTAATGCCTAGTTCACACTACACAACTTTAAACGTCGGCAGATCGCTGTGCTGTTTAGACTACATAACTTGCTCTGGAGTCTTGGAGTCGTTGTGGTGTTCACACTACGTAAATGATCTGCAACAGGGGGTCACACACTACACAAGCTGACAGCAAGGCTGCGTTCCAGTCCAAAATTGTCATGCCCTTACTCGCTAACTTCCCTTTGTCTTGTTCACTCGGATGTACATCATTGCTTACGTTGCACGAGTGCCCACTACTGGCGGAAACTGCAATTGGCTGAACTGGAACGTCCTAAGCCCTTGATCACTTGGATCCAGCCATGGAGTTGATTTATTATTTGCATTTTTTTTTTCCTTTAAGAATTTGTTTAATGCAGCATCCAAATGCATATAGGTGTGTTTTGGTTGTTTTAAATTATATATATATATATATATATATACACTCACCGGCCACTTTATTAGGTACCCCATGCTAGTAACGGGTTGGACCCCCTTTTGCCTTCAGAACTGCCTCAATTCTTCGTGGCATAGATTCAACAAGGTGCTGGAAGAATTCCTCAGGGAGTTTGGTCCATATTGACATGATGGCATCACACAGTTGCCGCAGATTTGTCGGCTGCACATCCATGATGCGAATCTCCCGTTCCACCACATCCCAAAGATGCTCTATTGGGTTGAGATCTGGTGACTGTGGAGGCCATTTTAGTACAGTGAACTCATTGTCATGTTCAAGAAACCAATTTGAAATGATTAGAGCTTTGTGACATGGTGGAAGTAGCCATCAGAGGATGGGTACATGGTGGCCATAAAGGGATGGACATGGTCAGAAACAATGCTCAGGTAGGCCGTGGCATTTAAACGATGCCCAATTGGCACTAAGGGGCCAAAAGTGTGCCAGGAAAACATCCCCCACACCATTACACCACCACCACCAGCCTGCACAGTGGTAACAAGGCATGATGGTTCCATGTTCTCATTCTGTTTACGCCAAATTCTGACTCTAACATCTGAATGTCTCAACAGAAATCGAGACTCATCAGACCAGGCAACATTTTTCCAGTCTTCAACTGTTCAATTTTGGTGAGCTCTTGCAAATTGTAGCCTCTTTTTCCTATTTGTAGTGGAGATGAGTGGTACCCGGTGGAGTCTTCTGCTGTTGTAGCCCATCCGCCTCAAGGTTGTGTGTGTTGTGGCTTCACAAATGCTTTGCTGCATACCTCGGTTGTAACGAGTGGTTATTTCAGTCACTGTTGCCCTTCTATCAGCTCGAACCAGTCTGGCCATTCTCCTCTGACCTCTGGCATCAACAAGGCATTTCCGCCCACAGAACTGCCGCTCACTGGATGTTTTTTCTTTTTCGGACCATTCTCTGTAAACCCTAGAGATGGTTGTGCGTGAAAATCCCAGTAGATTAGCAGTTTCTGAAATACTCAGACCAGCCCTTCTGGCACCAACAATCATGCCACGTTCAAAGTCACTCAAATCACCTTTCTTCCCCATATTGATGCTCGGTTTGAACTGCAGGAGATTGTCTTGACCATGTCTACATGCCTAAATGCACTGAGTTGCCGCCATGTGATTGGCTGCTTAGAAATTAAGTGTTAACGAGCAGTTGGACAGGTGTACCTAATAAAGTGGCCGGTGAGTGTATATATATAATTAATATATCAGAGTTGTTTGTGGTGGTGGTGATTAGACGAGATCTACGGTGACGTCACAATTGTGTTGCATTGTGGTATATGGAGCTGCCTGAAGTGTACATATGAAGTAGACTTGCTCCCTCGGACAAAATCGAGGGAACAAGTGTCTGTCCATATAAACTTCCCTCGTCCACTTCGCGAAGTGGAACGCACTTCAAAATGGCCGCAGGGATTCCCCCGATGGAAGTCCTTAGGGAAGTTCGCAAGTGCGTGTCTAAAAGTGGACTGGAACGCAGCCCAACTCTGTCACCCAACGACTCTATCCGGCCCCCAAACCACGTTTTTTCACGGAAAAAAACAAGCGAGAAGTGGAATGGGAAATGACACGAAATAGGAGTTGTCTATTTGAAAATGGACGCCGGGACAAAATTGTCGGTGCAAAAAAAAAAAAAAATTTGTTTGTGCAATGATCTGTTTAGAACACCAAAAAAAAAAAAAAAAAAAGAATATGAAAGGATGGATAAGCACACGCGGCAGCAGGGATTGACTGTGCTACAGAGAGTAAAACTTGTTTATGAAAAAGCAGCTGCCTGCTCGTTTTGTGGTTTGGCAACGATGGTTACAAATACAAAAGGCTTGTGTAATGTGATAACAAGCTGATCATTGGCTGTTGCTCGTCGCGACACCAAAGGCTATCGAGTCGCCCGACAGCTCCAGATATTTAGCATGCTAGATATTTGTCTGGCGTCGGCGAGTGTTTTCGATGAGTCGTTTAGTATTTCACACATAAAGATTGGCGAGCGTATATCACCCGCAGATTTGCACGCGGTTACAGCCCGAGCTCGTTAGCTTGCAAATCGGGCTTTAATCAGGCTTTAAAATCCTGTAGTGTGAACTAGGCTTAAGCGATGCGAATGTACATTGCGATGATGCTCTTGAATCAAAACAATAGATCTCTATGGAGCTATTCAAACCTGGTGAGATCAATCACAGGAAAAAAAAAGCAAGATTTTTGCCCCACGATGAAACGAACCATCCAATTCGCCTTTGGCTAAGCCCCGCCCCCCTTAGTTACTGTTGCTACATCTGACAAACAAACTTCATCTGGGCTCTGGTATCAACATGGCTTATGCTGTGACAGCTCTTCCTGCTGAAATTTGATCAAACTTGTATAAAGCAGCAACTAAAGTGTCCGATAGAAGTAGGCAAAAGGAGCTGCAATATACGTTCGAAGGCTATATTCACGACCACTGATGGGCAGTAACGCGTTAGAAGTAACGCGTTACTGTAATCCAATTACTTTTTCAAGTAACGAGTAAAGTAAGGGATTACAATTGCAAAAACAGTAATTAGATTACTGTTACTTCCCCATAAGCAGGCTGCGTTACTGCGTTAGTTAACCGTCATTTTGTTTCGTGAGACTGTCTCGTGCCATGAGTCGTGCGTGAGTGACAATCATGTATGAGCGCCGCGACGTCAGTGGTAAACACCGAAATGTGTAGTGTTGAACAAGAGACAACGTGGAGCGCGGGAGAGAGACACGCATTTGATTGGTCTCACACGCCACACCCCCGATTTCTCACACTGAAGTGTCAACCCGGTCGGTCAAATGCCTGAAAGATGAGTTTATCTATAGATCTACCTGTTGAGCCACTCGTGATCGACTAGTTATACCGCAAATTAGTTTAAATCTCCCGGAATCTAGAGCGAGCGTGCATGCGAGACAGAGACCGCGTAGCGCACGCGCACCCGCAAAGAGGGAGAGCGTCAGAGCGAGCGAGAGAGAGAGAGAGAGACCTTGCGTGTGTAGAGAGCATCCTGATCTAGAAACAGGACCCCCGTTGGAGAATGTCAAAATTCCACCTCAAATCTGAGCAAGCACCTAGCAAGAAGAAGGAAGAAGGACGACTTTCTTTATTTCATTAAAATATGGTGGAATGTGCAGAAAATGGGTTTAAATGTTCATCAGTTGCATTTAATTTATTTTTTGCTTGATGCAATGTGCATAAAGTTAAAATATTGAAACTAATAAAACAAGTTTAAAAAAAGAGAGTGTTTCATTTGATACAATTTTAGATGATGGAATATGCAGAAAGTATAGAAGTAGGCTGAAAGGTCTATTTGCTTTATAGCGTATTCAGGTCGTGCATCATGTTTTTGAAAAGTAACTTAGTAAAGTAACTAGTAAAGTAACTAATTACTTTTGAAAATAAGTAATCAGTAAAGTAACTGG